TTTTTTTTTTTTTGATTTCGTACTGATCAGTTTCGTTCCGTCTTGACCTCAAAAACAAAAACGTAAATTTTCATTTTTGTTTTTTTTTTGTTTTGGTTTTTCTTTTGATTTAGGAACGTCACTTACGTTCCTTCCTTCTTTTCTAGGACGGCCTTCTTGGAATGTAGACTTCGGGTTGGACTTCGAAATTGTGAGTAGGAAGAGTTTCCTTTGCTTTTTTTTCCCTTTGATTTAGGAACGAATACTCATGTTCCTTTCTTTTTTTTTAGGGACGAACCTTGAATATTTTATCGACTTGGTTTGGACTTCAAAATCGAAAAAAAAGGTAAAGTTTTCGGTTTTGTTAAGAACTTTGATTTAGGAACGCTACTCACGTTCCTTTTTTCTTCTTTTCTAGAGACGGACCTTGGATATTATATTGATCTCAGATATTATATCGGCTTGGGCTTCAAAACAAGAAAGAAGTAAGAAGTAAGTTCTTGTTTTGTTTTTTTTTTCTTTTTAATTTAGGAACGCTACTCACGTTCCTTTTTTTCTTCTTTTCTAGATACGGACCTTGGATATTATATCGACCTTGGATATTATATCGGTCTGAACTTTAAACAAGAAAGAAGTAAGTTCTTGTTTGTTTTTTCTTCATTTTAATTTAAGAACGCTATTTACGTTCTTTTTTTCTTCTTTTCTAGATACGGACTTTGGATATTATATCGACTTTGGATATTATATCGGCCTGGACTTCAAACAAGAAAGAAGTAAGTTTTTGTTTGATTTTTCTTCGTTTTAATTTAAGAACGCTACTCACGTTCTTTTTTTCTTCTTTTTAGAGCGCGTTTCTTTCTTTTATTATAGGGAGGGATCTTGGATGTTATATGTAGAGTCCATTTTTAAATCGTAAGTGGTTTTAGTATTCGTATCTTGATGTTTTCTTTTAACTTGGGACGCTGCTTACTTTTTTCTTTCTTTTCTAAAACTGGATTTCTTGAATGCAGATTTGTATCAATTTGGAATATTTCAAGATGTTTAAGCACTTCGTATTGGATTTATTGTTCTCCTGAACTTTATTGTTAGGTATAGAAAAGACAATATTATTTCATTCTTCAAAAGAAGGAGGTGCCATAAGATGTTGATAAATATCATCCTTGAACTTCAAATTGTAAGTGGAGTTTTCGTTAGCATTTTTGATCTAGAATGTTACCAACATTCTTTTGTTACCTTTTTATGATATTGGATTTTGATTGTGACTTGTAAAAATGTCTGCACTTTTACTAGATTTCTAAATAGAATGCGGGACAATCTACATGTAAATTTTTCTTTGTATTACCGCAAATCCAATAAATTTTTGTATCACTGCCAATAAATTTTTGTGTTACAACTATTAATAATTTAATTGCGTGACGCGAAGTAAATAATTTTTTTCCTTAAACATAAAATATTATGTCTCACGAAAGTGAATTACCTTCTCTTGACACTACAGATTCTTCACTACAAAATGAAAGCAATTCAGGCCAGTCAACTGAAACACTTTTGTATAAAGGAAGAGTATTTACTTCCTGGAATCAAGCTTTCTACATTATTGAGAGTTGGGCGAAGCAACAAGGCTTTAATATCATATATAATCGTGTTGAACGAAACCCTGATAGAACTTTACGTAAACGCACTATACAATGTGAACATCAAGGTGATTACAATACAAAATCTAATGGCAAACAAACAAAAACAAAGCGTATAGGTTGTACTTGGCATATTAATCTTTCAGAACTATTTTCTAATAATCCCTCTAAACATGTTTATATTACTACATTTAATAATACTCATTCACATAATCTTAATCCTGATATTATTCAATTTGGAGATAACAAGCAAATACCTTCTGAGATTATGAAAGAAATTGAGTTTCTTACTGTTCAGTGTAAAATGGGAGCTACTTCTTAAAGGCAATATCTTGAGGCAAAGTTTCCAGGACAATTAATTTACAATAATGACTTGTATCAAGCCATCCAATATTTTCGTCCTCAAACTAGAAATGATAGCAATGATGCTAGCATGCTGCTAAATTACTGTCTCTTATACACATCTAGATGTGTATAAGAGACAGGGCCTGGACTTCAAACAAGAAAGAAGTAAGTTTTTGTTTGATTTTTCTTCGTTTTAATTTAAGAACGCTACTCACGTTCTTTTTTTCTTCTTTTTAGAGCGCGTTTCTTTCTTTTATTATAGGGAGGGATCTTGGATGTTATATGTAGAGTCCATTTTTAAATCGTAAGTGGTTTTAGTATTCGTATCTTGATGTTTTCTTTTAACTTGGGACGCTGCTTACTTTTTTCTTTCTTTTCTAAAACTGGATTTCTTGAATGCAGATTTGTATCAATTTGGAATATTTCAAGATGTTTAAGCACTTCGTATTGGATTTATTGTTCTCCTGAACTTTATTGTTAGGTATAGAAAAGACAATATTATTTCATTCTTCAAAAGAAGGAGGTGCCATAAGATGTTGATAAATATCATCCTTGAACTTCAAATTGTAAGTGGAGTTTTCGTTAGCATTTTTGATCTAGAATGTTACCAACATTCTTTTGTTACCTTTTTATGATATTGGATTTTGATTGTGACTTGTAAAAATGTCTGCACTTTTACTAGATTTCTAAATAGAATGCGGGACAATCTACATGTAAATTTTTCTTTGTATTACCGCAAATCCAATAAATTTTTGTATCACTGCCAATAAATTTTTGTGTTACAACTATTAATAATTTAATTGCGTGACGCGAAGTAAATAATTTTTTTCCTTAAACATAAAATATTATGTCTCACGAAAGTGAATTACCTTCTCTTGACACTACAGATTCTTCACTACAAAATGAAAGCAATTCAGGCCAGTCAACTGAAACACTTTTGTATAAAGGAAGAGTATTTACTTCCTGGAATCAAGCTTTCTACATTATTGAGAGTTGGGCGAAGCAACAAGGCTTTAATATCATATATAATCGTGTTGAACGAAACCCTGATAGAACTTTACGTAAACGCACTATACAATGTGAACATCAAGGTGATTACAATACAAAATCTAATGGCAAACAAACAAAAACAAAGCGTATAGGTTGTACTTGGCATATTAATCTTTCAGAACTATTTTCTAATAATCCCTCTAAACATGTTTATATTACTACATTTAATAATACTCATTCACATAATCTTAATCCTGATATTATTCAATTTGGAGATAACAAGCAAATACCTTCTGAGATTATGAAAGAAATTGAGTTTCTTACTGTTCAGTGTAAAATGGGAGCTACTTCTTAAAGGCAATATCTTGAGGCAAAGTTTCCAGGACAATTAATTTACAATAATGACTTGTATCAAGCCATCCAATATTTTCGTCCTCAAACTAGAAATGATAGCAATGATGCTAGCATGCTGCTAAATTATATGCAAAATTGCTTGAATCTTCACAGAATAATCCACTTTGGAAAGTAGCTATTAAATTTGATGATAAAAATACTCTCACCCATTTATTCTGGATGGCACCATTACAAATAGAGCTTTGGTATCGGTATTCTGATATTGTAATACAAGATGTAACTTGTAAAACTAATAGGTATGATATGGCTTTAAGTTTATTTGTGATTCTTGATGAAAATCGGAATATAAGACTTGTTGCTCAAGTTTTATTAATTGATGAAACGAAAGAATCACATGAATGGGCATTTAAACAAATTAATTTAGCAACAAATAATATTCATCCACAAGTAATGATGACAGATGCAGATC